GCGAAGCAGGTGGAAAATAGATTGCGAAAGCTTATGTAGGAAAATACCTCATAAATGTGCACTAATGCTTAACATTCAATATTTAATCGTTTCCAATGCATCTTTAAAGCAAGAAGCAAAAAAAGAGATCGATTTTCCTCTTTCATGCTTTAATTTATATCGATATAAAAACTGGTATTACCGTGAGTGATTGCAATGTCGTTACGAAAAATATCGATTCCTAATACTATCTTTATGAAAAAGCTCGTTTAACTACATTACGACGTTGCAATCAAGGTTTGTGAGAATTTCAATTTGCGTAAGTATGGAAAAACTGCATTCATAGAAGTATCGGAAAACCGCGTTTCAGCATTATATCGACTTATCGTTTCGGTTAATTCCCGACGAAACATATATACTTTAATACGCACAATCCCGCAAGGATTTTATTTCTCCGATAACCTCAATAAAAATATTCGATTTTATTTCCTTTTCACTTTATAGTAGATATAATATTTCCTCGAAATTGATAACAAGTCAGCGTATTACAAATCTTTGAAATGTTGCATATTTAACACATGAGAATAAAAGAAACTTGATGCTATGAAACTATGAATTTTAATCGTATTAGAAGAATGTAAAGAAAATGTTAATTAATGTCAGTAAATATAAAAAATATAACGACAAAATGTACATTTATGATGAAATAGAATTTTCAGAATTATTTTTACAATTTTTTAATCTCAAAAATAATTTTTGTTGACGTATATTTTGGCAGAATTTTAATTAGATGCTATTTTACAAATGTTTAAAAATAAAATAAACATATTATTATACAAATAATAAAAATTATTAAATGTCGTAAATAATGAAAATTAAAAAATTGTTAAAAGTAAGTTTATAATTAAAAATTACGTGTTATCAAAGAAACTATAGTCAAGAGAAAGTAAATGTTCTATGTGTTTATAACATTCTTTCTAGTTGTAAAATATAGTGCTTATAAGAGCCAACACAAGACATAAATGTGTGAAATAAAATATATTTATAAAATAAAATAAAAAAACGTATACGTTTTGATTTGTTACGTTGCAATTAGTGAATTGTGTCCTATCTTGTACATAACAGAATAGATTATAACGTTGCCAACGGTTCAGAATAAAGAGCAGTAATGAGATTTGTAACTCTTACCAAAGTCAATGTAGAGACAGAATACACAAATTAGAAACAAAGATAGGTTATAATAATTTTATATTTGAAAATAATCAAAGTAAAGAGATCAGAGAACGATACATAAATGAAAGATAAATACGTAGGTTAAATAAGAGAAATAAGACAAATGAGAAAGTAATATAAAATACAGTAAAGATGAAAATAAAAAATAAAAATAAAATTCTTTCTAGTAATAAAACTATGGTACATTTTGAAAAGGGTTAAAGCCTGTTCTTCTTTAAGAAGAAAGGAAGTCGGAAGATGAGGAAAAGGAGACTCGTCCGCCACGTGCTCTCATACGATACGTTTCTAAAGCGTCGAGACATCTGAAGGAATCCAGGAATGCGGGCCATGCAGAGAGTTCTAAAGAGCTTCCAATTTCGTGTGCATCTACCCTTAGAGGTTCCTTCGCTTTCACGATTTCTTCTTGGACCTCATCACCCGCATCTGTTCTTATCCTTTATATCATATCATGTCAAGTCACCTTTATCACATACAACTATAATACATCACAGAATGTGTTGTGAAGTCGGAAAACAATTAGGATTTATTATATTTTTGATGCGTAAGTTATGATCTTTATAAATATTTATATGAAAGAAATGTTAATATCAACATTAATATTAACATAAAAAAAAAACGTTAATATTAATTAGAAAATTTAAATTTATATCATTTGAAATAAAATCATTTTCTTAAAAAAATTTATATAAAGAATATGCACTTTGACCATCACTAATAAAAGGTAAAAAAAAATACATCACCAAATATCACATCATGAATTGAAAATGCGACATAATTCTTATGATTTTAACTCAATACAAATATAGAAATTATTTTTTTTCCTATAATCTTTACACACTTTTTACCACACAACATATTCTTCTTGCAATTAAAACCGTTTTCTCTCTCTTTTTACAAATAAATTCTTTATCATTTTTAAAAACTTTATTAATTCAAATTCTTTTTAAAATCTTCTCTTTCTTAATTTATATTATAGGTCTTGCAAAAAGTCTTTGCAATTGAAAAAGATTATTTTTTATCATAAAACTGAAAGATTATTTAAACAAGGTTTATTCAAAATGCAATACATTGGAGAATAAAATTATTAGTGTACTCTTTCGAAGCTTAATTCGTTGAAAACGTTTAATATCTTAGTTGTTAGCGGCTTAAAACCGCGTTATTGTAATAATTGCTATCTCTAAGTTCGCATACTAATCTACAATTCTGCAGAGAGTCTGCATGGCTAAACTTTTGTCAAAGAATAGAGAACAGTTTCACCACCTCGCATTACCGAGCACTATCATCATAAACGAAACATGCGCGAATACATCCGATTTGACTACTTCCACTACATCTATTGAAGCCAAACGGGACGTAAACGGGAACGCGCACATTCGACCCACGCATTTTTTAATCAACACCAAGCCCGATTAAACAGAATCTGCTAGCTATTCTGATTGGTCAGCATTGTGCCGTGGTGGGTGCTTACGCGGCACGTTGCGAAAATGATTGTTCATGTCAGATGGAGAGATATCTACTGGCATATCAACCCGCAAAATCGATCTCGCATGAATTAATCCACTCTGATTTTCGATAATGTTATATAACCAGAATGAGCCAAATAAGTCGACTCACATTCATGAAAACTTTGCATCTTGTGTTAAATTATGCATTTTTTTTATTAAAGATACAACTATAAGAGAGATTATGCATTTTGCAACAAATATTTCTACTCTATTCTCTAAAAGTTCACATATGGAAAGTAAAGCAAAAAGAAATTATATAACGACACTTGCTGGTAGAATATCATATATTTCACTCCAACTTTATTTATTTTCGCGTGAGTTAAGAGCTCCTCATTTGTTAGCGCGGGCTCAGATGGAGGCCGCACTAATTAATGCGACGATACTCGTCAGCGAATCAAAGCAACGGGGCTCTTCTGCGCGTTTGCATTCCTTGTACGTTCCTCACCTCTCCCTTTTTCCTGGATGAGAGGAAGAGAGAAAAGTGGAGCGAGAGAGGAACGGGCAGATAGAGTGCTAGAGGATGAGGACATCTCATCCCTTAAGAGGAAGCCTTAATAGGATGCGCCGGCGGTTGCCCTATACGCGCGATATTCTCTTCCCGCTATCGGGAAGGTGTTAGCTTCCGGATCCGTGCATTCGCAATTTGCATTAGCCGGAGCGAATTACGCGAAATTTATGCGAGCCGAGGATACGGCCGGGGTTGCCCTCGCTTAAGCGTATTCGGGGCCACTTAGGCGGCCGCTCCAGCGGTGGAGTCGTTCTACTTATGGCACCGTGGACAGCTAATGTCCGCAACTATTTCTCTCTCGCCGTACAGTTCGCGCTTACCGTCTTACAATATTATTCCACGAGCATTGTGTCTTACCCACTAAGAAAGACAGACAGAGAGAGAGAGAGAGAGAGGGGGTGGAGGGGGGAGGTAAGGGAGGGAAGGAGAATAGCACGTTTGCCAAACGACTATGTCGGCCCACGATTAATCGTTGCATCGTTGACATTGCGTTTCGCTCGATGTCGTTGCACGTGTGTAAGGCGTCCCTTAGGAAAGAGAAAGAAACGATAGAGAAAATATCATTCTCCTCAATAAATTGGAATAAAATGTTTTACAAGTAAGAATTCAATCAGTGACGCACAACTACCTGACATTAGAAAAATTTTGCCGTTTCATGATTATCGCTTTTCTGTGTGAGGCACGTACAACTTGAAATAAAATTGAAGCGAATCATGATTTTCTATCATGGTTTTTGCTTACGTTCTTCAGTCACCAATAAATTTAATTTTCCTATTAAAAGCAATAAATTATATAATTATATATTTTCGAATATATATGGTAATATCATAACTTTTGATACCGATAAATATAAAAGTGTACATATTTTATATGCTATTGATATACATATTGATACAAATAAACTTAGAAATATCAGAATGTAAATAGAGAGAAACGAAAGAATTATTATTTTTTCAATTAATCCAAAACGGGTTTTATTGTAACAAATTTCAATTTTAAATCTGGTAACGACATAAATTGAAATTAACAAGTTATGATAGACGTACATTCAAAACATTTATTTCAAGAAATAAGTAAAATAATTTATCTATGCACTTTTTCCGGAGCATTCATCAAAAACGGCACGTTAATAATTGAACAAACTATTTAATACAATTGCGACATGTAGATGACGAATGATATGCTTGCATTGTAGCGAATGGGACGAAATAACGTTTGACGTTAAATTAATGAAGTTTCAAATGCGAATAATATTTTGCTCCCGAAATTGATAATACAGATGCATCTCGAATCGGGATATACCTATGGATTGTAGCTACCAATCGGTTTGATCAATCGACTCGCGGCATGCTCTTTCAATTATCTCGGGACGGCAACTCCGATCGGACGTGAAAATTAATTGCTCGCGTGACGCATATTTGATCACGGCAATTTGTATCTTTTTTATAGCTGCCTTCTTCCATGGAGCATCTCTTCCGTGATAATGTTTACAAGCATCGAGTAACCCGATAGAAATTATTCTTCTAGTCAAGGCTAGTTGCAAAACGCTAGTAAACAAAGATACATTCGTACGATCGAATCATTTTACAAATTAACAAAATTATTAAATCATATCTACTGAGGGAAATTAATTGTTAGAAAATTTCGCACATAAAATTGTGAACTCGCGTTCGATCGTAGCACATAGTTAAAGAGTTAGAAAGGATAGAAACTTCAACTAAGGATCTGATTGTGCACTGTTAGAATTAATCTAGTAGAATGTGATGATTACTCACTTTCTTGCCGTCCAGTTCGTGATTGCCCTGCGCCAGCACTTTGTCTACGCTTGCAGGGTCTGCGAATGTGATGAATCCAAAGCCCCTGCAAACAAACGAAAGGAGGATGTTTAATATGAATGTATGCTTGTCGCTCGGGACATTAATTAAGCAAGCATTTGCTGATAGTAATAGTATTTCCATCGTGAACGCGTACAAAGATAGCGATTGTAGTACAGCGTCACACGTTGCAAGATACATATCTCAATGTAGCGCATATATCAAAATGTACGATCATAAAAAAGCCGGTTTGTAACTACAATATACTTTCGTATTAATTCATTCTCGTAAATCGCGAGATACGATAATATTAATTCTCTGAATGAGGTAATTTCCTTTCATTTTATTTTCACGATTAAAAGTAGTCATTAGAGAGTAATTGATTACTACCGCTTTTCTATTTTACGCATTTTAAAAATTATGCCAAAGAATCACTTCAAACAATTTCGAAATATTTATGTCGGTTTTATTGATCTCTCTAAACCTGAATCGATGAATAATCACTGATTATTATTAGTATGCTACTGGCAATCAATTTTAAAATGAAATTCAACTAACAACTCAATCCCTTAACCGTGGAAACGTGAAATCCCTAACCTAGCTAATCTTAATTGCTTTATATCCCTATTTAGTGTATTGGACCTGAGAGCAAATATCGATATTTTAATTACCTATATAATGCTTCCTTTTTTTAAAATTAAATTTCACTGATTACGCAATGGCATATCGCTAATTCAGATTTAGATTACAAACATATCCATTACAGTATTAAATTAAGCTAAGATTAACGATGGATTAATTCCTTGTGTCGTCTATAACAACAATTAATCAATATATTATGTTCCAGTTTTAGAATATATGCTAGTTACAGAAATAACAGTAAATTAATATTGGAAATATCGTCGTGCTATATGTGACATAATTATCGTAGATTAAAATTCATTAAATGACATACACATATAAATATATATATATATATATATATATATATATATACACACACATATATAATTATATGTGTATATCATTTAATATACTTGATAATAATGTTTCCTAAGTAATAAAATGGTATTAAACAATTTCATTCAAGATAATGTATCTTTGACTGAAATTTAATTTATTATTTACTAATTGTACTCGTAAGTGCATACACACACATTTGGTGTGGACGTTGTTTACTCTCAAACTATCCACAAAAATGGATTAATTTACATTTTGATACACATGGAAGTTAAAAATAACGAAATGTAATTTTTAACTCAAAGAATTAGGTACCATTGCTCCTTTATTGTCTAACAGTGTGTGGTTGCTAATTTATCAGAAACTATGCAAATTCGTAGAAGCTGTCGCGCCAGTAACATTAAAATCTAAAGGATTAAAGCGAAACGAATATCGAACCTGGCACGGTCCGTTGTGTCATAAATATCACACCGGACATCGTGTACACACGGATATATTAAAAGACAGTTCGATGCCGTGAGCTAAGGGGGTGGATACCGTCGGCCGATCCACGAACAAGGGATGAGCGATACGAGGGAATGCAACGCGCTGAGAGCCGGACGCAAAACGGTTTGCATTTTTCATGCCGGGGCCGCCTCGGCAGTTATTGAAAATATTTACATGTTATTTATGGGGCACACATGCTTCAAGAACCAAACGCGCCACCGAGCTACCCCCGTCAATCCTCCCCGCGTGTTTCTCTTCTCGTCCACCTTTCGCACGCAAACCCCTTCTTTTCCGCTTCTATTCCTTCGACTGCCTCCCTTTTCTGTTTCGCCGTTCCCTGCGGAACATCGTATTCCGTCGCTGTTCCCTCCCTCAACTCCTTCATCCGCTCCCGAGGAGCAACCGCCCCCGGCCCTGCCGGCAACGTCTCGAGAATTCTACAAAACGTTTCACGCCTCTCTTACTGCTTCCGCTTCCTTCCCACCGACGAAACAACGAATACTCGTATGGATTGAATTTTTGATGGAACCGACCCCTCCGGGCCCTCGACAACCCACCCTCTTCAACCGTTCCGCTTTCCATCGCCGCTTTCTTTCGTCCGCGATGTACGGTGATTCCCGTGCGTCGAATGTGCGAGTTACAGGGAAGTATCGCGACAACTTCCTCCTATATCGATTTCTTTGAGCACACGATATCGTCTCGAACGAAGTCAACGACAAGAAGGGTGCGTAGTACCTAAGAAAAGTAAAGAGAACGGCAACACGTACACTTGCGTACGCGAAATCGGAAGGTAGTCGATTGTTATTCCGCATCGGTGACATTCGAAAAGGGCGCAATACAATGCCTCGTGTTTCCACATGGCGTTGGAAAAAAAGCTAGTTTCACTCCCTCGTTCATTTTATAACAGAGAATTGCACCAGCGGCCACAGTTATTGCAATATCGCTGTATCAATACACACGACACGTATACACGAATATACGAGATTGTTTTTCCTGCAAAAGTTTTGCCATTTGCTGTATTCTTCCGTAATTTTTTTAATTCTTAATATTAATTTGCATAAATTTACAAATATTGTTTAATGGAACAAAATATGCATATTAGGATCATTATATATCAAGATATTCCAGAAGTTTTTTTTATCCATTGATAAAAAAATCTGGACCAATTAAAAATCGATTTTTTTTTGGCTATAATATTGAGAGTGTTTGCAAGTTTTCCATATTTTCAATATTAAAATTATTAAATATCTTTTATACACTGCTACAATTGGATAAAAAATAAATGGAGAGCACAATATATAATATAATACACGTTCCAACTCATGGCGTCTACGATGCCATCCAGCATTAGCGAGCTCGCGATTTGCTCATGTGGCTACGACAACTATACACGCCGAATTTTGGGAGGTTTTTCACAGTACGCACGGCCGAAGCGACAATCGCGGCAAACGAACGGCCGCTGAATCGGCAGTCGTCCAATCAGCATTAAAACGCCAAACAACACGAGCGAGAACACCACAGGCAGTTCGCATTTGCATACAACGAAACGAGAGTTCGTCCGGACGCGTTCTCTCTCTCTCTTGCGCGCTCTCTCTCTCTCTCTCTCTCTCTCTCTCTCTCTCTCTCTCTCTCTCTCTTCCTCTCTTTGTCCCTCTCGCATTCTCTTTTATGACAACGCATTTATGACGATATGCGCGCAATGTACCGAAATCATGAACAACAGCCTCGGAAAGCCACGCGAATAATTCATTCTTTTTCACCGAGCATCACCGGAATTTCATTAGAATTTATAGATTCACCAATGATCATTGGAAAATTATAAATTGAATCATTAATTAGATCAATCATGTACAGTAATAATAGAGAAGGCAGAGAGGCTGGTTGGTATAAGAAGCAAGTTAGTATTGTATTCCGCGTTTATGTATTTATCGCAGAAGAAATAATGGAAAGTTATCGGAAAATATCTTTTTTATAGTATTTAGATAGCTTTTTTCTCTAAATTTTAATTAAATCAAATAAATGTTGCAATAAAAAAAAAAAGAAAAATCTAATTCTAGACGAGACAAGTAAATTTTCAAGCGTTTCAAAATTTTGTATTTATTAATGTTTCTTGAGAAAGTAAATCTAAGTTGACGTAATATTACATATTAGGTAATTTAGGAAAATAGAAAAAAGTTTCTGTTATCACGCAATATGTTATTGAGTATTTTTTTATAATAAAATAATACAAATCAAACATATGTAAAGATGGAGTACGTTGACTCATGTTTATTTTATTATAAGAAATGTGTGAACATTCAGTTACAATTTAACAAAACGCTTTGTATTTAATATTTCTATTGAAGCAAGCTACAAAATAGTTTACATTTATATTTTTGTAACAACATTTTGCTCAATAATTACAAAATATATTTTTAACAAATATACTATACGATCTCTTCAGAGTACACATCTGCGATCTGCTTCTTTAATTTCTTTTATGTTTAATTTTGTGTGAAAGAAATATTCACAAAAAATATTTCTTGCGTTTATTCATTCATCTTCAAATACGTTTTATCATTAAACAAAGCAAAATTGTAATTCTTTTTTCTGACAAAAGATTAAAATCGTCGCACATTTTCCTGTGAAAATTTTACGGAATGTAATATCGTAAACACTGTTGAACACCGTTGGACTTAATTAAAAAAAAAAAAATTAAACACATAGATTGCTTAGTAACGCTATTGCAATCTTCATTCCGCATTCCTGACTAAACTTGGTTCCAGACTCGCGGAGATTCAATCTTAATTTAAGGTAATTATTCACAATGAAGGATGAAAAAAACCGTATCTCGGCGAGTTACCAATCTTATGACGGTATATCAGAGGAGTCGAGGGCCACTCGAGAGTCATCCCCGGGATAAAGGATGGATCTATCGCGGACGCAATGCGCCATCGCGCCACTCGTCACCCCCGGCCATTGTACGTGAATAATCTATAAAAGGCTGAGTAGAAGGATGGCGGCTGACGTGTCCCTTGTCTACTTGAGCACGGTTTCCACGATCCTCTACTTTTCATCCTGCTTCTCGTCCTCTTACCCCGACCTCTGCCGCTCGACCACGGTCGCTTGCCTCTCACTCTACCTCTGCCGACTTAACCGTCCCCCGACCGGTCTCATCGCCCTTTTCGCATGCTTCCCCGTCCCAGCTACGGAAGGGTGTCACACCGGGCTGATGCGGTGCATTTGTTTGTCACGGTCTCTCTTATCCTTACTCCCTCGCGCCGGAGGCTCGAAGATTCCCGGGTATAGCGAGGATATTCTAGACGCGTGCGACAAGAAGAAATCCCAGCCGAAATCAGTTCAGGATAACGTTCAGTGCGTGAAGCACCCTCCTCAGAAGAATTTGATAAGATGAAACTCTAATGAAAAATCGCAAAGATATTCAACCGGCAAATATTCATCGATTATTGAAAGTTTTGATGGGAATTGCTCAGTTAAAGTAAAGGAACAAGTGTAAAATAAATTTTAAAAAGGAGAGGTGCCTGTTTATGTTAGCAATGCTTATTTTCAGCATCAAAACAGGTTATATGACCAAAATTAACAGCAGACAATGAAAATGCA